GGACCACCTTGGGCAAAAGTCGGTTGAATCAATTCTACAAATTACATGTATTGTGGATGAGGAATTGAATGAAGCCTCCTACTTCATGTTGGTGAGGCAGTGTGAAGAGGCACCTCTGCAGTCCAGGAATGGCAGCATCAAGATGTGGGCCACGGACTCGATTGCAGACCTCTCTACAGTAGACCTGTCCACAGACTGAATTGCAGTCCTATCCTCAACAGACTTGTTCACTCACGGTGGGGCTGTGCACCTCTAGTGCCACACTGTCAAGGCAGAAGGGTGGTGTGATGTTTTGCATATTCCTTGATTATGGAAACCGCCATCTGGAGACAAGCCAGCAAAGACACAGGTCACCATGGTCACAGCCTAAGTCACAACTTTCGCTTAGAGGAGTGACCACATAATGCTGTGGACCTGTGTGCAATGAACAGCTCGGTCACTCAATGAGTGTTGCAGTGCACTCAGTGAGCCCTCAGTGAGCTCTTAATGAGTGTGGCAGTGCATCTACAGAGTGCTCACTCAATGAGTGTGGCAGTGCATCCCCTGCAAAGTCGAAAGACTACACGTTGGGGCCGACGCTTGCCCAGTGTTGGAAGATTAAAGAAGTTGATTAGAGAGCTCGTCTCTCGAAGCTGACAACCGAAGCCCCGGTGAACGGCAGCCGTAACTATAACGGTCTGCTGGAAATTCTAAAGGGGTCCTTCCTTGTCAGGGGACAGGTATCCAAGATAAACAGCAGGAATGACAAGGTGATAGGGTTTGACCCCAACCTGAGTGCTCACTCAATGAGTGTGGCAGTGCATCCACTGAGTGTGGCAGTGCTCTCGCTGGACCGCCTGCTCACAAAAAAAAGCTTGCGCATTCCAGACACAATCTCCAAATGAATAGCTTCCTCACTCACCAAGTGTGGCAGTGCATGCCCTGAGTGTGGCAGTGCTCTTGCTGGACTGCCTGCACGCTCGAGCAAGCGTGCGCGCTTCAGACACAATGCCTGGCCTGTCCGAGCCACATCCATGCGCTTGTGCTCTAGGTTGTGCGCACGGCCTGCCCCAGCCAGATCCTCACTTTTATTTTCATGAGCCAGGGCTTTTCCAGCATGGCCCTAGGCCTGTGCGCACTTGTCAGGGCAGTCTGAGTATTGTTTATTACTGTGTGCCGGTGTTGCTGTGACAGTCCGAGTGTTGATTTTTGTGGGCCTGTGTGCACTTGTCGGGGCAGTCTGAGTATTATTTGATACTGTGTGCCGGTGTTGCTGTGGCAGTCCGAGTATTAATTTTTGTGGGCCTGTGTGCACTTGTTGGGGCAGTCCAAGCGCTATCACTCTGTGCCCTTGCGTGGGCAGTCCAAGTGTTATTCTTTTGGGCTGATCCCGGGAAAGTCCCATTGTGATTACTCTTTGCATGCGTCAGGGCAGCCCCAGTGTGATCACTCTGTGTCCGTGTCTGGGCAGTCCGAGTGTTGTTACTCTACGCCGATGTTAGGAATGTCCCAATGCTATTACTCTGTGCCTGTGTCGAAGTGTGATATTATTCTGTGCCTGTCTAAGGGAAGTCCGAGTGTTATTGCTCTGTGCCGGTGTTGCTGTGGCAGTCCGAGTGTCAATTTCTCTGGGCCTGTGCGCACTTGTCAGGGCAGTCTGAGTTTTATTTATTACTCTGTGCCGGTGTTGCTGGGGCAGTCCGAGTGTTATTATCTCTGGGCCTTTGTGCACTTGTCGGGGCAGTCTGAGTATTGTTAATTACTTTGTGCCGGTGTCGCTGTGGCAGTCCGAGTGTTGATTTTTGTGGGCCTTTGCGCACTTGTCGGGGCAGTCTGAATGTTTTTGCTCTGGGCCCATATGCGCTTGTCAGGGATGTCTAAGTATCGCATGTGCTTGTCTGCACCGTCTCTGCCTGCCCAAGTGAGGCATGTGCTCGACTGCACTTGTTCAGTCCCTATGAGTGAGGCCATTGCTTGCTTTCCATGAGATTCCAATGACAGCCCATGAGTCCACTTAGGGTGCAAGCGGCATGCAAAAAGCAGGGACACAACCCTGTAACCCTGACTTGGCTCGGGATCCACGTGAATGGGAAGTTGCTTGGTCATGCTCCACACTAATGCCATAGGACAATGGATCATGCGCCACCAATGCCATCAGGTAGCTGAAAATTCAGGTCTGTATTTGTTTGGGGTGAGCAGGATGAAAAGGAAAGGAAAGAAAAAGCTATGAAAGTAGTGAAATCACTCCCCAGTGCGGGACACCGTGACATATCGGAAGTTAGTTTTTACAACACGATTACATTACAGTAATTAATAAGTCCTATTTCATGAATTTCCCCTTGGTCACATGGATAGTGAGCTCCCCAGTGCGGGATGCCATGAAATATTGGAATGCAACACGATTGCACTACAGTAATAAGCCCTATTTCATGAATTTCCCCCTGGTCACATGAATAGTGAGCTTTTTTAACCTCAGGAATCGGCTTGTCGTGTCCCTGCAAGGACATTCAAAATAGAATAGTAACAGGGAAGAATTGAGGATTGGTATCAGTCACATTGAAGTAGATGTCATGCGCCCTTGCTTTAAGTGCAAACGTCTCCTTAATCAGCCTTGAAAGGCAAATACATGCCTGAACCAAGTTGGTGAGACAAAAAAGCCAACTGAGCAGTCCAATCCATCAGAGCAAATAGGCACTGCCCACCAAAGAATGGTTGTGGTGCTTACACAGTCTATGACAAGCATGAGCTGTATTCCACGCAAGTTCCATTCATCAGCTGCTGCAGGAGCTCTTATGATGTTGGGTCATCAAGGAGGGGTTGACAGCACTGATGAGCATGCTGCAACCCTTAGCACACATGGCTGCAGCTCCTTCTCCATGGCAATGATGACATCATGCCACTTCCTCACCTCCTTCAGCCGGCTTTGCTGGACACCCAGCACCTATTTGAGCTCTGTGGGCAGGTACTTGCCAGACCAAGACCTCTTTTACACCACCCCATTGCTTTCTTTCTCTGCATTGAAAGATTTCCTTTGCCATTTTTGATTTCTGTGTCCTTGGAGGGGCACAGGCTGAAATTTTGGTGACCTGAAGATGTCATCTAACACCGAGGCGGTTATACTGCCGTAACATTTATGTGAAAAACATGCCACAGGGCATCCCGCGCTTCAGTTACGAACAACGTGGGAAACACCCTCTGGATTCCCCTTTGCCTGTTCCTCAAGTTGCTGGTGATTACAGTTGTGAAACTTGCTTTCATTTGGAGAAAGAGAGTGCCAATCATGGCTCCATCTTTCTGTGTGGGACATGAAAAGGAAGAAGAGGTCGTGCAGCCTGCAACACTTTTTTGTCTATCCTTGTGAACAAGCCCCGATTTGCATTGTGTTCTTGCAGAGACAAGTGTGGATCCTTTTTACGTAGAGGAGGACGAGTGGAACCAATGGGGCAAGAAGCAGGATCCAGTACCATCGGGTGGGCTGACATCACAGGCGGCAGATGGGGAGCAGGATGCAGGAGAAGGCGCACCTGTGGATGGAGGGTTGCAAGGGAACAGCAGTGCTGGTAGCGATGTTGGACCAGGAGGGCGCGCAGAGAAGGCTGTGGTGGGGACAACATGGACTCAGGGCGCACAGGGTGGCAATGCCCCTGGGAAGGGTGTAAAAAGAAAGGAAGCTGGTGTTGGGGAGCAAAAGCCAAAGAGAGGCAAGAAGATGGGGAACGATGACTTTTTCGACGACCTGAACGCCGACTAGGACAAGAATTATTTAAATCAAGCGCCTAGGGCTGGTCTCTATGGACTGCATCCTCAGGAATAGGTTGTAGATGTCAGTGAGGAGGTCAATGCACATCCTATCGCGGTGGTGTCAAGTGTAAGCTAAATTGGAGAAGGAACTCCTTGAAGCCCTCCATAAATGATTTAGGCAGTGTTTTCTGCTCAAGAAAAGAGCAAGGTAGTCTGACTGAAAACAAGGGTCTCCGCAAGCCAGAGGCTGCTCAGAGGACTACAACTACTCAAAGGAAAAGTGTCTCACTTTGGGACTGCATAAGCGCGTACTCACCTCCACTACAGTTGGCCTCTGTGCACGCATAAGTTCCATGCTGGGGCTCGTCATGGGGGGGCCCTACCTTTGGACAGGAACTCCTTTCTTCCATCTCTACTGGCTTGCTGCACCTGTCACAACACACAGCTCTCATTCAGATTACTGGCCCCTTTCAAACCTCCAAGGCAAACTAAGGCAAACAACTTGTCATGCATGGCATGGCATGGCATGCATTGAATGCATGAAAAGCAAAGCACATATTTTTAACAGCAAACTTCAGCACTAACAGCTACCAAAACTGGCAGAACCTCAGGCTGCTTAGGATGTCCAACACTCACCTCACTGCCGCTTCCAACATTAGTAGTGCTTTTTGGCAAATGAAAGCTGTGACCCTCAGAGAACAGACCAGTGTCCCCAAATATCGAGCAGGTGCCCTGTACAATGGCAAACATGCCAAACGCTTCAGTGGCCACCTTGGGCCTCCTCTCTGCCCCCTTTGTGGCGCACCTCCCATACCCTACTAGGTAGTACTCAAAAGCACTCACCCACAAATAACATGAAAGCCATAAACCTCCACCATCAAGCACTCTGCATCGATGCAGATATTTGCGGCAAAGCGATTAGCAAAGGAGACTTAGGGTCTCACATCGTCTCTGTAGATGCATGCAGCACAGAGAGGACATGCTCCCTGGAGATGGAAGTTCCAAATAGTGTCCACTGAAACATTCCACATTGGCTGAATTCCATCTAGGCAACCACCAAATACACAGCTCAGTCGCCCTGATGGCATTATACTTCTGTCACTTGGAGGCAGGGATTCCGCGCACCACCAGAATATATGAAATCCAGAGACAGATATCCACCTCATTGAGCTAGAATTTCGCTCTGAGACCAAACCTGAACAAACTCTCCACACTGCACGGAGTCTGTACAAACGACTAACCAAAAAGTAATTAATTAATGACTTAGAAAATAACATGAAGCGGGTATAGCTCAGCTGGGAGAGCGCAAGACTGAAGATCTTGAGGTCCTTGGTTCGATCCCGAGTGCCCGCATACAGTATGAAAATATAGAAATAAAGATTCCTAAGATTTTCAAATCACCCTGTCACAGGGTGACTGGGGTTATTTGACCCACTTTTTTGAAGATGGCGAGTCTACACGATTCTCCTGTGCACCAACGGCCTTTCCGAAAAGCAAAGCAGCAAAAGAGCGTAAAGCAAAGCTGCAAAAGAGCTTTATGACTACACTGTTAAGAGCCTGACAAAAATTAAACAATACCAACGAACCAAAAGCCTTCCAATTTAACAACATAAGCAATGGGGTTTTGGGGGAGGGGGCTGCGGGGCGGGCTGCGTACAGAACAGTGAGGTATGCAGCTGGGTGGATGTCCGTTGAACCCACTGTAGCTGGGCTGCTCATATTTAGCCTTTGTTGGTGGGACTTACTGTTAGTACCAGCTCTGACTGTTGGGTCTTTCCTTTATGCACGGTGGCTACGTCCGGCATAAACTTGTACTTTTTACTTTTGACAGGTGACCTCCTCTTGATGCATGCACCCAGACACAGACTGCGAACTCTTCCTTTCTTGCCTGCTTACCAACTTCCCTGTCTATCTACTACTCTACAAGCATAAAGAATAAGGAAGGTCGTACGCAAGTCAGAGGCCGCATGCATTAAGGGAAGCACCCCGAACTGGAAAGTTGGAGGCTCACCAGAAAGGCCTCAAAACCTATACTAGACACAGCCAGTGTGAAAGAGCCTGAGCTACTAAGGGTCTTGAGGGCTGCCCACCATGCTCCTGGACACCCAGACTCTCCTTTCCTGCCTTCCATTGCCGCACACACAACCCCCCCCCGCCCCCACGCCCCCTCGGCAGCCTTCTGAAAATAAAGAACATGTCTGATATCAATGGTGGATGTCACATTGGCAATTTTTTGGATGGCATGGATGCCTGCAAAAATGAGAGCTTTCTGGAACAAGGACCCCGAATCCTTGAAAACATGCCATAAGGCAGGGATGGGTAATACGTGAAACACTTATGTACGCGTACAGCTCAAATTGGCAAAAATACGCGTATGGCTCACATGGCTGTTTTGCAGACGTGAGAAATAGCCATTCGGCCTGCGGGCCCGCCCGGACACCTCAGAACCCAATTTTCCGAATTTTGCTGCCCGCGTGGCTCAGCTGTTGCTGCTGACGTTGATGCTGTGGCTCTGTCAAGGGCCCGCTTCCCATCTGCCTCCTGCTTTTCCCTCTTCGCTCTCCTTCTCCAAGCGCTGCATCACTTCCGCCACTGGCTTCAGATGCTCCTCTTGTGCCACACAGCTGGCCACACCACTGCCATGGACTTCAAGGAAGTGCTGTCTGATGCGGAAAGCACCGCCAAACCACTGGCGGTGGCACAGCTTGCATTCTAGCTTCTTCCCTTTCCCTTCTTCAGTGACCTCTGTGACATAGTCCCATTCAGGACCTCTCTCTGTGGGCTGGGGGGGGGGATACGATGAGGGGAGGGGGGAGGGAGCTTGCATGGGAGGTGGTTGGGGGGGGGGT